CTATTTTCCCTGACACTTTTCACGCGCGGAGGAACACCGCTGGCTGCGCGCTCGCGCGTCTCGCCACGAAATTCCTCGCCGCTGGTTCCTCCTGGTCCATCGAGAGTTCCAATTTGTCGTTTGTGACGTTACGAATACATAAAATTTCTGCTCTGTCTGACGAATTTTTTATCATTCGACACACGAAGAAAATAATTCCGCGGTTCGTTTGATGAATCGCGAGCGTTCGAATAATTTCAAACGTCGAATCATTCGGACAATGAATTAATTATTTCTCGATCGCTCGAGACACACGTTCGAATCTGAAAATATTATCCACTTTACTTTTGCACTCGTTGGAACGTCGTTTCAATCGCGTTCGGGCCCCCCCCCCCCCCTTTTACCTCCGACACACATTTTTCTAATTGAGAAGGGCAAATACTTGCTCAGTGAAAAATGCAACCCCGTAGTGTAGATAGTGCAAATATAGTTAATACAAATATTTGTCAATGGGTTCGTGAATCTCCCTTTCGATAATGCGAGTACACTTTGTTCCGTCCATCGCGCCATGTTTGCATTATGTTTCAAGCAAATTGCGCAACACAGAGACTCGCAATAAAACGCCAGATTCAGGGAAGTTGCACGCAACTTGCGAATATTTTACGCTCCATCGTGTTTCCTTTGAAAATTAGCGGATGCTCGCAACTACCGTGTTAAAGCATGGATTCAATTGGCTCTTCCTAACCGGATTCCCGTAAACCTTTCTTCACGTTTCGACGTAAAAATTGCGCTTACGTAACGTTTTTTATGTGAAAGAAAAATTCTCGAAAGGACGCACTGTATTATAATTAGGTTGGTCGGGAAATAATTGCGCTCTTTATGTTTTGTAACTTTCCCTCGTTCTTTTTTGCAGATTGTAATTGTAATGTGTAATTTTGAAGGTCTGTATTTTAGAATCAATCGCTTCTGTTTCAAAGACAATTTCGTTCCAATTTTTGCCAATTGATTGGGCATTGGATGAAAAGCCAGTTGAAGCAATTTTTCTTTACGAATTCAAAGCAGCAGAAACAGATAGGGTATAAAGACAACAATGCATTTCGCTTGGATATTGTCAACATATATACGATGTAATGGTGGTTCGATAAATTTCATTCCAATGTTGATAACACGTTGCAGCAATTACTCTCCAAATGTTGAATGATTTGGGATACGAAATTTTACCTCATCCGCCGTTTATTCATCAGATGCGCTCATCCAACAGATTTCTCGAACGATAAACTCTTTAAAAACCAAACTGATACAGAAAACTGATCGACTCCAGAATCGGCCCGGAATTCTACTGAGATAAACAAGCCTGTAGCTTTAAGGTTGTAGCTTTGATTGATAAAAAACTTTGAAAGCTGAGATACGTGTGTTTGAAAGCGAGAGATGAAAAAGCGCAATTGTTTCCCGACCGACTTGATAATTATCACAAAGTAGGAAAGATCGAACGTTATTCGCTAGAAATAGCTTTATTATTAACCGTTTACTTCTGAAATAAAAATTTCAAGCTGCGAGAGACGTTTGATCGACTTGTCTTTGCAAATAGGATTCGTTCAACCTCGCATCGACAATTTACATAATAATTCGTAATTAATTGCGAGTTGAACGATGATTTATCGTCAGTTGAAGAATGCGAAACTTTAACAGTTTTAACCCACTTGCGCTGGTAACTGATTGCGGACCATAACGAGTGACCAAATCGTATACAATAATTCGTCGCTTCCCTTTTGATCTCGTCGGTATATCGCTGGATAAAGACTATTGAAAAGCAATAAATTTATTATTTGTTTCGCCCATTTTGTTTCACTTAAAACTGAGAAAATATTACAACTTCGAAATAAAAAGTTCTCGACGTGCGTGGCACGTCGTTCCAACGCAAGGGGTTAACCACTTGCGATGGCAACTGATTGCGGACCGTAACGAGTGACCAAATCGTATAGAATAATTCGTCGCTTTCTTTTTGATCTCATCGGTATATCGCTGGATAAAAATAATTGGAAGGCAATAAATTTATTATTTGCTTTGCCCATTTTGTTTCATTTAAAACTGAGAAAATATTACAACTTTAGAACGAAAAGTTGTCGACGTGCGTGGCACACGTCATTCCAGCGCAAGAAGTTAATTATCGTTGAAAATATTCGTATCGCTTGGAAAGCGATTTCTGTGGTTCTCGAAATTTTGATCAAAACGTAGTTATTGCAATAAATTACAATAGCAAAGTACAGATATATTCATCGAAACGCAAAAAACACGCGTGCTTGCGTACTCGCGCGCGCCAATGGCTGCCGACTTTGTCGAACTGCAGCAGATTAGCCAGAGGGGCTCGGTTTTCGAGGATTAAAACGGCGAGATTCTACGGATGCTAAAAGCTTGCCTATTTAATTCAAGGATCTCGATTTATGTGGAACTGGCGGTTCGTTGAATGTTGTACTCTCCCGGCTGGCTGGCGGCTGTGTGCGAGCCGAGAGGAGCCGATCGTGAATCTGTCGTTGACACCGTGCAGCCAGGCCGCTTGACAAAAAAAGTAGGCAGGCATAATCGTAAAGTGTGAATGTTATTCTCTGGGACGATGAGCGAACCCGGAGAAGAGAGAAAGAAACCGGGGGAAACACTATAGGCACACGCGCACACAAACGCGAAACAGGCTAACCGTCGCGTGTAGATATACGCGTACACGCACTTGACACGCTGGCATTATAAAAGCGTTTCTTTTATCCGGCTTTTATATTTGGTCGGTCGTCTCCGTTCAAAGAGACGGAGAACGGCACCGCACCGAAAATGAGAATCTCCGTAGCGGAGACGACGGGATTCCTGAACGGTTCGGGCGATCGGCGAATTAGGACGGTTCAATGTTCCCCGCGAGAGCGATATAATTGCGTCATTAGCGAATTTCGCCGGATATGAAACCGGTCCTCCGGTCGCGCTCCGTACTCCGATCGACGAAAACGAGACGACGAAAAAGCCGCGGAGGAAGAGGAGGAGGGTGGGGTGGGATCTCCTGTGGAAGGAGGAGGAACCTCGTTTTCGTGTTTCGTTCTCGGGCTTTTCATCGAACCGCGAAACACGTGCCCGTTTGTCTCGCGGATATTGGTTGAAAGGAACCGTTAGAAAGGCATCGCCACCCTTCGATTTCCACTTCGAGACGGATGGTTCGCGGACGCGACCGATTCGACGAAACAGAAGAGAGAGTGGTAGAGGTGGAGGAGGAGGAGGAGAACGGACAGGGAGAGACGGGCAGAGACAGGGAAATTCGGTGGCTCGAAATTGTACAAGCGGATTATACGTTTTCCTTCGTATTAAAATACGGCGGGTCTCAAAGGGAAAATAATGTCTCCCTGATTACTCGCTTCGGTTCAACTCGAGCCACCCCTGTGCCTCGATCTCCGTTGCCCTGTCCCGCCCGTTCCACCCCCTTTCGTCTGTCCCTTCGTTCCGCTCTCATCTCCGTCTCCGTCTGGCTTAAACGCCACCGTCGACCGTCATCGCGTCGCCCTGTTCACGACCTCTCCGTGCTCCCCCTGCTCCTCCCACCCTTCCTTCACCTACCTTCACCGAAACGGGGATTAAAATGATGTTTGCGTGAAAGCCAAAAGCATTACCGACTTTATCTTCTGAAGAGTGCGTCGCATTACTCTCCCTTTTATCCGTCCTCGCTTCCACAATATTTGTTTTCTTAATTTCCAAGAATCCCCTCCCATCTTCTTCTTCCTTCTCGTCCCTCGAATTTCGATTCGAATTTCTCGTCAACGATTCCCTTAATTTTCTTTCCTTTCCACCTTTCTTCCTTTTCTCGTTTATCGGTGTTCGTCGACGTTTGGAATTGTTCGACTCGACGATCTGTCCCTCCCGTTCGCGGAGCTACCGTTCGACGAGCAGCAAGTGTCGCGCCGCATGTTGCAAAAATGTTCGGCTCGGGCGTATCGCCAGGCCAATTATGATAAACCGGTTCATCGGTGAATGCGAAATGCCACTTTCTAAAGTCGTTGCTCCGTTGTTGAAAGGATGAAACACTTGTTTGCCCTCGGCCTCCGTCTCGATCGGTTACGTCGATCCCTAAAGTATTCTCACGACTTTATCGTTCCACCCAGTTGGGAAAAGTCGTAGCGCCGCGGAATGCGATTTTCGAAGCTCCTCCATTGGAAGCTACATACAGCAGTATGTAACACACACTTAAGCGTTCATTGTTATACCAACCAATTCTTGTAATTGGGACTATCTCACTACTTTGCGGCATATCGATATTTCCGGCACATTATGATTGTTTCGGACACGCATTGATCAATGTTAGGCAAATTTTATATTAAATAAGAAATACATATCTAATTTATATGTATTAACACGATTATAGAATCATACTAATTTAATATCGATGGAAATGTAACGAGACCTTTATTCAAGGTTTCCATTCAATTATTGATAATTATTGATTAACAACTACTTTTGTAGGGATTATCAATGAATTTTCGAGAAGTTTAAATTAATTGCAATCATTTGATTATTGCTACGTTGTAATTTATATTTGCTTTGTTCAGTTTAAAAATATGTACGTGTTATATTTAAAGTAGTTTAAATGCATTCAGCTGAAATAAAATATTAAAACGTTGAATTTCTTTGCAATCGAATAACGTGAACAATACTGGAATTCGGCGCACGTGAAAATGATCTGAGTCATATTTCTCGTTTAAGGGTTTGCGTTTGAACAAATTAAAAAATATTTTTATAATATATTTCAGGAAATATTTGGTCTTGTGAGATAAGAATATTTATTATGACTGTGAAATTTTGTATTTCAGGAAATATGATTTTTGAAGCTTGAAATGACTTTTAGATCATTTTCAAAATTAACTGAATGTCTCTAAAACTAACTTGCAACAAAAGGAAGCAACGAATTTTATTGTAAACAAAATATTTTAATAAAATCTGTTAATTCACATCTTACAATCATGTTCCTGAGAAATTAATTTTTATAATTTCTGAATTTCTTCTTATCCTTTACAAATCGAATTTTGAGTGATTTGTCTTGAGTGATTTGAAATATTTCTGGTAAATTTTGGTGGGATGTAGGGTAGTGAATTCTTAATATCTTTATATTTTTCTTCTGTTATTGCTCTAACGGTGGTGTATAAGGGAACTAGGTGGATATTTTCGTATATTTTTTGCACTTTTTGTTACTGAATTCTGTCAATCCTTCTGCTTCATTCGTTCTACCAAAAATGGATTCTTTTTTCTATATCTCATTTCTGACGAGCCAAAAATCACGATCGTTTGGCCAAAATGAATGGCCAGATTCCAAAAATTTATGATCGTACACACATTAGTTGTTAATCAGAAAATATCCCTGGAATTATTATTATGACCGATAAAAATCGGCAACAACTTTTCTTACTTGATGGTAAAATAATTAATTATTTTCCCTTAAATAACAAATTCACGAGAATGCAACTGACTTGGTCCACTGTCTAAAGTGAACAACAACCAACTCTATTCAAAGGTTCAATTTTTACAGCTTCTTAGAAATTACGTCAGATTAGTTTACTTCAAAAGTGTAACGCGAAACAACTGATGAAACTCTTCTTTTTCTTTTTTAAATTCTCGACTTAGACCACTTTCATGATTCACCGGCGCTTTAATTATTATATTATTATTTATTATTAATTAATATATAAATTATCTATTAAATTAACTATTAAATTAAAAAGAAACCGTAACCGTAAACTGTCAGCGTAAGAATATTTTTAAAGAATAATTAGTAAATCGTTGAAGCTAGAAACGCTGTAACAGACCGAGGGAAGCTGGATTAGAAAAAAAAAAATCAGTGATCGGAATCGAAGGGCAGTGGCACCGCGGCGCTACGTGGGTGGCTCGATCGAAGCGTGATACTTTGCGAAGAGGAAACCGGTGGCTGTTCGTTCATAATATATCGCGGCCGCGCGCGAACATAAAATTCTCCAATTGCAAAATTGATGCGGCTTATGTTACTTCCTCTTCCTTTATCCCCCTCGTCCGTATCTCTATCCTTCCATTCCCTCTCTCTCTCTCTCTCTCTCTTTTTTCTGTTTCTATCTTTACTCGTCGTTTCGTCGTTCACCGGGTTGCACGGGCGAAGCCACGGGTCTCGCGGGTCCCCTGCTCGTTTCACTGTAAAGCAACTCCTCATATTGTACAGGGACGCGTAATTCATTTTTTACCGGACTCGGCTCAATTATTTATAAATTGCTGCTCCCTCGGGGAGGACACGGCCAACCTGTCATCCTCCCTCCCTCCCGATAGTGCTCCGCCAGTTCTCTCTGATGGCACTGCTTCTCCGGGTGCGGAATAAAAAGGAGGGAACGGTGAAAACCAAGAGAGAAAGAGAGAAAGAGAGAAATGGAAGGGCGACGGGAGCAGAAAGAAGAGAAAGAGGAGGAGGAGTACTTGACGAGAGCGAAACGTGCACTCCGGAGAGTACGAAGGCACTTTGGAGTCTTGGACGATCGAAGCAACAGCTACAATTTACCGGTTTGCCTCGCTCTGTTTATTTTGTTAGCGTGCTAATGGAATGGTCGCGATTCCGAACGGTTGCGGGCCAGCGCTCCCTTTTTCCCTGTCGATAAGGGGCGAATTATGATGATTGTCTCGGAATTAAAGTCCGACGGCTACTGATGGTGATTCCACGGCGAAAACTCCGTGTGGGTCAATTAGAAACAGTGGGGGAGGTGAGCCAAAACTATTGGCGGCGCGAGTACACGCTCGATCCGTCTGGCCGGCTCCTAGTTTTTTTCACTTGCTCGGCCGATACGGTTCGGCGAGCTCTGCCAGCAGCAACTTCTACTCCGGTTGGAGAACGTTGATTGTTATTATCCCGTGATGATGATTTGTAACGAACGCCAAGCGTTTCGGGAATGCGGCGAAGAAGGTTACACGACCATGGTTTTTACGTGTTATGGTGGTCGTGTAGGTGACAACGAAGATGAAAGTGTCGAGTGCAACGCTCCGGTTGGGGGAAAAAAGCGATTGGGTCCAGCAATTTGAGAAAAATTTGCAGGGAAACGCATAAAGGCAACGCAGCTTAAATTTTTCAGTTTTGCAAAGAGATAAACTCTCTCTCTCTCTCTCTTTGATCATCTCAAGTACGCTCAGAACAAGACGTCAATTACGCCTCCGAGACACGCGTCTCTGAACTATTCCAGTCCAAGTAATGAACACTTTCGTAGCAGTTCTACGTTTCAAAATTGGCGCCACTATTGGCTGCTGTTAAACTTTTTAAATTGTTACTACGTTTTCATTTGTTAATGTATCTCATGTGTAAAATAAATATGTAAAAATGTTACTCTAACTTACTGTAAAATTCGTCATATTCACTTCATTAAACAACAATATTTTTTCTATACGTATTTAAGTCTTTTAAATATTATATTTAATTTTTTCGAGCAAAGTATCATACTGAGATGATACTCTAAGTTACCGTAAATTCATCATATTTATTTCATTAAAAAAAACAATATTTCTTCCATACGCATTTAAGTCTTTTAAATATTATATTTAATTTTTCCGAGCAAAGTATCATACTGAGATGTAATATTCCTTATACTTACCTACAAATAGCAGAACCTTGTGCTCAGCTACAGAACTTTTGGAAATTACATGCCGTATTCGGCCAAACGTTTTGTCCGTTTGTCGCCAAAGTGTTAAAACGAAAGAGGAAACAGAAAGGGGCACGCAGCTTTATTACGCATTTGCAATCTTGCAAATTAATTGCACGCGTCCAATTAAGCCGATCGCTCGGCGAAGTCGCAAAGTCGGGCTACCTGACTCGAGCTCAACCTGACGGAAAAATTTGCGCGGCCGCGGTGCGTGATCTTCCGCGACGAAGGGGAGCCACGTTCGGGGCTCGCGCGTAATTCGCGATCTTAATGACGGTCTACATAAATTCGCGTGCAAATTGAAGGCTTCCTCGCGGCGGCGTGTAAATTTAAGACCTCGGTGGCGAGACGCGCGCGGGGACGCGTCTTTGAGAAATTAAAAACGTCTCGAAATATCGCGTCCGAATCTAATGGCTTCACCTGACGCGACCAGCTGGCTTTGTACGGGCGCGTTACGCGCGAATCCGCCTCGCTGCCGCGAATCGACCCTAATAAGGGAACTTTTATCGCAGCTGAATTAATGAGAGGAGGCTCAGACACGTGATTCTTATTAATGAAAAGTAAATATTCGGACACTGAGAATTGAAATAATTTCAACGCCGTAAAATTTATGAAATGAAATCGTACGACGATAAACTTGCGTTCATTTTAACATTTTTTGAGTGTCGTGTGGGGCGTGACCTGAATTGAAGATTAATATAAACGCATAATTTGAGTAAAATGTTAATACTTGAATTTTACGTGAATTTTTCAATGTTGGCTTTGTTACTACAACGATGTGAAGAAATTAACGCAGTATAGGACATAGAGAAATAATTTCATTTATAATATTATTCGCGCATATTGCGATATATCGTATTAAAGCAACAAAGAAAAAAAGTCTTCAGAATTGTAATCATTATTTTTCGTTTCTGTTCTACCTAATTATTTTGAATTTTGAATTATTTTGAATTTTCACGTCTTCTACAAAATTGTCGATTTAGCCTGAACCATTTAAGCTTTCCTGCCACGCGAAAACCATCGTGTAGAAGATTCAGAGAACCTTATATAATACATTTTTTTTATTATTAATCTTTAGAATTGTATAAATTATGTTACGTAATAGTAAACAAATTTTCGATCAAACGTTTGAACGTATACAGCGTGTATTTAATTCATTATGCATATTTTGTTTACAAAAGTTATGCGTGTTATGCATTATCCTCACGCAGCTTTAAATTTTGATTTACGATTACTTTTGTATCACCCTGTAGTTTAACCTTCGTGATTATACCTTTAACGTATATGGTTAACTAACTGAGCGGTTAAAATTGCGGAACGAGATTATCTAGCTAACCATCGTGTCTTAATTAGACGTGTAATGCATCCTCGATTTATGTAAGTTTTTTCAGTTTGGTTTCGATTAAATCGCGATTAGATTTTTCTGTAGCAGCTCGCTGCGGCCTGCACGCACGCACGCAGAGAGCTGCGATAAAACTTTGATAATTAAAGTATGGGATTTTATGGTTCTACGGCAGAGGAGTGTATGTCCGAGCGTGTGTATGTGTGTGAGTGTGTGCGTACGTAAAACAGATTTATTACGTTAATTTTAACGAGATTTCGTGGGGTAGGTTGTGTGAATTGGTAAGCATTTAATCAAAGTTAATCGCCGTGGCTTGACAAGGTATTTCAGAGCGTAGATCACGCTTTATGAACTAGCTCTGGTAGGCTTTTTTTTCAATTAAACAACTAGCCAGTGAGAACGAAACCGACTCTGCTCTCTTCATTAAAAAAAATTCTTCCCTTCAATTATCTTTCGCTCTTTCCCTTCTCAACTTTATTCATAGATTCATCACGACTTTTTTTTTTTTTTTTTTTTTTTTGTAACGTAACTTCCAATTGTTTGATCATTTCCAAATATTTTTCAATAATCGTCAGAAGTCACAGAATCTCCTCAGAAATCGAGGAACTGATCGCTTTTGCGTATATTAACGATAGTGCTTCGACTATCAACTACTCAGGATCTTCGACCTCGTGGCTGATATTAATAGGAACGAGCTTCTTCCTAGCCCAATCCAAGATCAATCGAACGTCTCCTCTTTGTTTTCGCTTATCTAAGATTGCAATCGGCGATGCTCGGTGTGGCATAATACTTCGTGCCACGTCGGAGAACATCAGTCTGTTTGATGCCACCGGATCGTCGTCGTGACAAGGGCGACGTTACTTTGACTACTCCCCTGAGAACAAAATCTCCCTTGCATCTCTCTCTCTCTCTCTCTCTCTCTCTCTCTCTCTCTCTTCTCCGACGTCCATCCCCGTTTCCTCCGCGCCCCAACGGTTTTATTTCACTCGATTCGCATTCCGATCTTGTTTGCAAATCGTGTACCATCCACCCAGCCTTTTCAAAGGAATCGTATAATTTTTCATACGCCGTTCGTGTACGATGCACTCCCGTTCACGTGCCACAAATTAATTCTTCCTGCTCTTCTCTTCCCTTCTCCCGTCATTTGTTGCTCGAATCTTACACTCGGCGGGAAACCTGGCCAATGTAAATTTTTTGTCTAAATCTAACTTTTAAAAACACATGTTTTTAAACAAATTTTTAATATTTTATTTATATATTTTAAATATAATATAATATAATACAATACATATATATTAAATATAATATAATATAATACATATATATTAAATATAATATAATTTAAATATAATTGATTTTTTTCTATAACCTATAAAAAAAAAAAATAAAAAAGATTGGAAATGAACAAGTTATGACTTTTTCAGTGGCCACCCTGTATAAGAGGATAGTAGATCGGTCGATGAATTAAAACTTTTTCTCCTCTCTTTTCCCTTCCCCAAACCATTATGGGAAATCGGTCGGAAATGTGTCCAAATTGTCACAATTTGTTGGACGTCGTGTGTGTGTGTGTGAGATTCGTGTGTGATCGATATATATACGAGCATACTTGACTTTTTCAAAGTGCGACGAAGAACTCGAAAATGTAACTCGGAGAATTACAGAGGCCTGTGTGATCTGCGGTGAAAACTGGTCCTGAAAACAGTGATAGAGGCTAAATTTGAATGCGAATAATTCATCAGACGGTATATAATAAGCGCAGGATAAATCGGAAGTAAATTGAATTGAGCTGTCTCTCAACCTAACAATAATATATCCGGAGACCGAGTTAATCGATCCTAGACCAACGTTCCGACACGCTGAAAATAATTCTAACTTAGGAAATCAATACCTCGCTGTCTCGCGTTCATTCTCGTTCTTTCGAGACTCGGTTTGAGGCTTTCCAGCCTCAAACGAAAAATTTGAAAAAAATCGTCCGAGCGAATTTCGTTAAGCGAACGAAACGAAGGAAGGGAGATAGGATGAACTCTAAAGCGCGAAAGTAGCGGCGATCGAAGATCAGAGAGTCCTTTGGTCGCCAGTGTTTCGCCAGTGGAGCCGGCTACCCTTCAAAGAACCTTGATATTAACCAGTCGCGTAGAGGCCATTGTCGGGGCCTGGACTATGGACATTGTGCCGTTTGAGCGTGGCACAAAGAAGCGCAGCTCGCACGCTCGGTGTGCGTGCGGCATTCAGCGGAGAACAGGCTATCCGTGGCCGAGCCGTAGTTAAATCGCTGCCTAAGAGCCTCGCGCGCTGCCATTGTGCTCTTCGTGTGCCACCTCTCTCTCTCTCTCGAAATACACGTAACCGACTGGAAATCGGCTCGCGAGAAGCGACGCAAAAAAAAAAAAAAAAAAAAAGAAAGAAAAAAAAAGACCAACCATGGAGAGATCGTAGTGAAGAGTCGTAGAGAAACGAGACGAGGACAGCCATTTTTCAAACCGGTCATCCACCCACGCGCGCGAGAGAAGAGAGAAGAGAGACGGGCGACAATGGACGCGTGGAATTTCCTGCCGCGGAGATTAATTGGTCACGAGGATTTCGAGCCGCTCTGAATTCGAAGAGTCGCGTCCGAGGAGGCGTCGACGCGGCTCTTCGAACGAACCCGCGCCGTAACGGAAGAAATGAAAGAAAGCAGAGCAAGAGAGAGGAGAACGCGACGGAGAGACGAAGGTGGTGGAGAACGTTCGCACGAAGCTCACCCTAATGCCTTAAGCTCCTTGGCCGGCGAACGCGAGCGCGCATGCGTGCGAGAGACTAATGCACCGCCGCGCCACGCCGCGCCGGTAGCACAATGCCGTCGTCGTGGCCCGCGATGAATGTGAGCATTAAATGATTATAGCCAGGGATTTGTACGAACAAATGGATGACAATGGTAGCGCGGCCGGCAGCTCGTTTGCCGACGCAGCGGCCTTGGCTCCTTCTTTGCCTTTCCATTCGCCTTTCCGCCCCGTCATTCGATTGAGGGTTAAGAGACGTTGTTGCGACTTCCAACGACACCTCCGCGTCCACCGTCGTTCACGCTTTCGCCGCATTTTCGCGACGCGGCGCCACTTGTCCTAACCGCGCGCGAAACGCGAAAATTAATTTCAACTGTTGCTGCTATCGAGTGTGGAAAGTAGAAAGTACGACTGAAGATTTTAGAGCGTATATTGGATATAAAAGAATGACACTTTCAGAGTAGTTCTCAGAAGGTTCTATTCTACGTTACAACCATGGTCAAAAATTGTGTTACAATGTAACTAACGCATGCTATTTGTCCGGAATAAGTGTTCAGGTCACATTTAGGGGAGTACTACTGACTCACAATCAGTAATACTGTGGCAATATTGTGAGGCCAATATTGTGGTTGTTCATCCAACGCCAAGCTTGATACAATCATTGTTTATTAAATAATGTAAAAACGAATTTGTAGAGCACGTGTCACCGAAAGAAATATGTACCCTCGTGTGTATAATTTGTGTAAAAAAGGTCTGCAGTACAGTAAAATTCATGTTAAACGAAAAGCATAAAACAGACACAAGGAATCCTCGAATTTTCTAGAACCTGTGAAATCTCTAGAAAAAATAAGGGTGCTATCTGAAGACTATAAATGACACTTGGTAGTAAAGACGCAAATCAATTGGATTCGAAACAAACATCGAATTATACAAATGTATAATTATATAAATTGTATTTTATATATATATTCTTTACATTGGCAAAATTGACGAAGAAAATTGAGGAATTAGCAAAGAAATACACGAGCGGAAAGTGTTCATGCAATTCTCACGGCACTCTTGATCTAAGAGAATTTCTTACGTTCAAAGAAACCAGGTTTACGACGTAAACATCGTGTAATCATTCGTTTAATAATAATCATACAAGTGTACTGAGAAACATCTATCATTAAACATCTACTTCATTAATGTCTATAACTTCGCACTGTTTAAAAATATCATTGAAAAATGACTCGCAATAGAAAAAAAAAGATTATTATTAATTTAAACAAGCTGAGATCGATCTACAGACCACAGTTTCGTTTCGTTTGTACTTTAAATTCGTCTAGGCACGATCGGATAATTTAATCCTTTGCCCTCGACATACTTTTTTTGCATCATCTACCAGCAATTTATTTAGCACCATCACTTCGTAAATAAAGTGACACAGCATTGGAAATAATCGTTCGAATATTATTTCACCCAAAAATATTTGTCGATTTTGTCTTTCCAACGTGTGATAATGTTTAAATTTAAAGCAATCATCAACGTGCATTGCTAGTTTCCTAGAACAAGTATAATACACAAGAATTCCAAATTCTGGAGAAATAATATCTTCCGTCATTTTTTAAACTTTTGTGAAGAAGTCCAGTTTGTGTAAATTATCGAGTGTCAATTGACTCATTTAGCTTTCACTCTAAGCTAATGTTTAAATTTAAAGCAATCATCAGCGTGCAGTGCTAGTTCCCTAGAACAAGTATAATACACAAGAATTCCAAATTCTGGAGAAATAATATCTTCCGTCATTTTTTAAACTTTTGTGAAGAAGCCTAGTTTGTGTAAATTATCGAGTGTCAATTGACTCATTTAGCTTTCACTCTAAGCGTCTGTTCAGATACTATACTGCTATATATCGCATCATACAACACCAAACGTATATTATAATTATCAATAAATTATAAAAAGAGAAAGTCTTGAAGAGGTAGCTGTTGGCTAGATTCAAGCACGATGTCTTCTCACAAGACACAGTCGAGTGCTCGAAAGAATTAATGAAAATCGGAGTCGTTGTCATTCTTTCCATTCCGTAGCGAGGTTGTGAAGAAAGATACATATGTACGTGGAATACGTTCTTTCCATAAAATGTCTCAATGTTTTTCGGCCGATCACCACGCCGATCCGGCATCGGTAGCGCGGATAATCCGCGCCGGATTCCGCCGTGCAATCCGCGTTCCCTTTTCCCTCCCTCCGTTGCTTCCGCGAATAAACGCGACGATAACGACCGGTTCGCAGGAGCAAAAGAAGCTTCGGAGAGCCCCGTTCGAAGAAAGAGCGGACGTTGGATGGAATCGGTCGGTCGGGGCCATCTATCATGCAGCTGTTGCTTCCATTGTGTTGTTAGTCTTACGTTACGAGTCGTAAAGAGAGAAGCACGGAACGCGGAGAGAGACAAGGAGACAGGAGCAAAGAGAGAGTGTGAGTAGACCGAGGGTTGTAGAACGAAAGAAGCCAGCAGCTTCCCCAACCGACGACCGAGTGTGCAACATGTGTTTGTCTCCTGCCGATCCGTCTTTCCTCTTCCTTCCTTCCTCCGGTATCCCTCTTTGTTCCACGCCCGTTATAATGTTATTCGCTCTTGGACTAAGCGGCCAAGAATACACGCGCGGCTCGAAGGACACGCAGAAACGCCGATACAATGGATGGATCCTGTCCGAGGTCTGATTGCCAACGAAAACCCGCCAAGATCGTCGTCTAAACCAGCGGACCTAACTGTTCTCTTCTCTGCTGGCCGGCTCGAGTTAATGGCCGTCGTTCCACTTAATTGGGCAACACCGGCACGTGTTCTTTGTCCAGGAGATTGCCCACGAGACAATCGACCCCGACAGATACCATTCGCACGGAATGGTCTTTTACGTTTTGATTCCGATGGATTTCGAGGCCGATCGTGAAAAGGAAGAAAGTCTGGCTTCGTCGGGGAGCGAGTATCGCAGGAAGGGGAGGAGTGGGGAGCCGCGGCTTCCGTTCGCCGAGCGATTCCATCGTCACCGAGAGAGAGTCTATATCGTGGTCAAAGAAAGACGACGCGGCGCGGCACGGCACGGCGCGGCGCGGCTCGGCACGGCTCGGCGGAGAAGTAATTTACAAATGGTCATTTCTCGGGAGCAGCAAAGCCCGGCAGCAGCACGCGGCAGCACGGGAGCGAAGCAAAGCTCCGGCGAGGAGCAAAGCGACAGAAGCAAGACGGAGCGAGCAGGCGAGGGAGGAAACTCGGCTGCTGGCAGCCGGAAGGGAGACGCGGACGGCTGGGTAAAAGACAGGGGAGAAAGGGAGAACAAGAGAGAGAGATGGCCACGTTAAAGGCCACGGGAAGAGGGCCGAAGGAGGGAAAGAGAGGCGAACAGGGAGAAAGATAAGTCTTTGATGTCTAGCGGAGATATGATGATAATCACGATGTAGGCTTCCGCTTGCATGGTACAGCGGAATCCGCGCCTCCTCCTGCTACCGCCTCGCCTGGCATCGGTGAGCGCGCGGCCCCGCGCGCGCACGTGCTTTCATGCCCAGGTATCTTGTGTTCTCGCAATCAATATAGCGGATGTACCGAGACGTTGATGTATTCGAGGCTGACTTCGTGTGTCCAAACACAGAGCCGCGAGCTGCGAGGGACCGATGAGTCAATTCCAAGGAGCCGGCCGAGTCACGTTCGTCGATCGAAGCTTCTCGTTGCTCGTCGCCGCGCCGGGGAAGCAATCCCGATCGAGGGAAATGCCCCGTTTCCTGGCCAGAGGGATGGCTGAGAAATTTGATAAGTTCGTCGGTTTGTCATTTGTGGTTGCTGAATTCTCGCGTCGGAGAACTTTTTCAAAAAGAGACATACACTTGTTAGAAATACGCAGAACGTTGCAAGAGATTATGCTGTACAGTTTTACGGAACTTTTGTTTCGAACAAGACGACACTTAAGCAGCCGTAAAAATGCTGCAATTTTTAGGGTTAAATCAGGCTGCGGATACTTTTCATACTTTGATCCTTGGCCTAACTATCAGAATAGTCCAAATGATCTATTCATAATTCTTGTTAGAAGTTTTACAGATGTGAAACAGTATATTTTTGGAAATTTAAATGATTTCCCGCGAAATATATGTATAAATTGAAGCTACGTATATTTTATTATAATGTTTTCCCACCTCTTTAATCAGTCTCCAATGGAAATTCTCTGCTTTAGTCGCTGGTAGTTCTAACGCATGGGTGTCCAACCTTTTAGATCTTTTGGGCCTCATTGGGCCAACAACAATTTGTTCAGGGCTGCACATAACTTACATACTTTTTCTTTTTATCAGTTCAATGTAACCTATATTATTTACGATGATATTGAACCTACTTTTATAGCGAAACGACACATTCATTAAAGAAATATATTTATATTAATGAAGAAAATATGAAAATTTTTTAACGAGAACACTGAAAACGCTCGTTTTTTGGATGGACAAGTTTATCAATATCTACACATTTTGTTCCTATGTTGGATTCCGTGTAATGGACTCAACCCGCTTACAATTAAGAAGAGTTTATTCCCTTACAGTCGTGGTCGTGTATGAAATAGAATGATATAGAATGATTAACAATGTTTAATGCTCTTAAATATGATGTAGAATGATTTAGAATGTTTGTTGCTTTTAATGATATCGAATCTCTCTATAATGACTTAGAATGTTTTATGCTTTTAATGATATAGAATGTCTCTATAATGTTTTAGAATGTTTTATGCTATTGAATGTCTCTAAAGTATGTCCTTATATATATTTAGTTATCATCGTCAAGTGAAAGAGGAAGGAGCATAGATGACCAACTATTGGATCTTGCCCTTATGACTAACTATTCACAGTCCACTTTTATATGGATTGTTGCTAGCTCATTGTCAGTATTTGCATAGATTCAATATAGTCCGGGTGTTGATAATCCAACACCTATCTTATTTTTTGTGCGCTTCGTATGGAAAAACACCATGAACATTCAAAATTATTCAAATAATAAAATTCCTATTCAATTTTAGTTTTACAGCGCGAGTTGAACACGCCTCGTAGTATGACAAATTCCTAACGAACGTTCTGCTCTGTACAAAAGAATGCTTCAAGGCTCTACCCGCTGTTCCTTATCACGCGCGTTTACGTTCGTGCAGGCTAAACAAGAAACAGAGGCTTCGTCAAACGACAAGACGTTGCGTTGATTTCCGGCTGAAACGAAAGGGCAGGTCGAGAACGCCGACGAAAGAGAAAAAGAAGGACGCTCTCGGAGAGCTGCGACGAGTTGGCTCTCAGTATTATACGGAAGGTGGTACATGCGTACGGGTGTTCGCTATCGTGAGCAATAAATTGCTGTTCTTTTTTCCTATCCCTCGGGCTACTTTTTGCCATCGCGTTGTCGTAACGTAGTCGTCCACGTTCGCACGTATATACACACACGTACACGCGCTCGTCGATAAACGACGAAGTGTGTGTGCGTCCGCCGCGCTCGTCTCGCTTAAGAAGATACAACGAGAAGTACAATAAACACCGACGACACGCATGTACGTGTGTGTGTGTGCGCGCGAACGTACGCAAGAAGTGCGTCCTGCTTTCACGACAATCCAATGCGGGCACGTGAAAGTAGTCGGGTCCATCCGCCTTTATACATACCAATGGAATAGAAAGCTCTCCAGATAAGTTTTATAGCCGATCGAAATCGTAAAACAGGCCGATTTTAACGAGCGATCCGCGACGCGGTGCCCCGATGTCGTTGTTGGCCTGCCCGAGCCAATAGCACAGACCGGTTGAAGCCTATTGTCGCGAGGACGAGGCGTATTCTTCGAGACGAGAGTCATTTGAAACTCTCGAAAGAAGGTACTAATTAGATTTGTGACAATTATTCGTAAAGACACTCGCCTAACAGCGTTGTCGAGAGGACGAAGGCTGGCAGTTTCGTCGCGAGTCGCACGCTTTCATCGAATCGATGTCTGTGTGTGTATATATATATATATATATATATATATCGCTCGTTTGCATATCTCGCAGATAATGCGTATTTCGCGCGCCTCGAGACGCTTTCGCAAGCGGGATTATTAAGTCGGTTTCCGGTGATTTCACCGGCGAGAAGCGCGCGACGTCTTAATTTTTTACGCGCCCGGGACTCGCGACTCTGCGAACGAATCATAGAAAGCGTACTTTCGAGCCTCGCGAGGAAAATCACGGCCAACGTTCCCACGCGGAAAAATCTCTCCTCCGGGCAACTATCCATCACCGTGCAAACATGGCCCACCATTCAATTCGACGAATTGAAGAAAATGCAAACTCGCAAGTGCAAGCTCTTTCTTCCTTTTTTTTTTTTTTTTTTTGTTGGCTCGTTCTACCGAAAGATCGTAATTACAAACGAATGGATCAATGTTCGTTCGATCAGCTGGTGATCAGATCTTTTTCACGATCGGACGTTCGTTGCTTCGTTTTATTTATAGATCGACAGATCAACCTGATGGCAAGTACTCGTTTTTACTTGCACGTGCGAGATTAAAATGAAATATAAAAAGCGGCATTTCGTGTAAAGCGCACTCACGCTCGCTTTCGTAACCGTGAAGTTCGTTTTTCGGGAAATCGGCGATTCATCGAAGAAAATTCGATCGAAGTGAATAACTCATTTTTGAATAACTATTGACTCTTGAATGACATCACAAGGAAATTTGACGTGAATATTTACGAAAAATGTTCCTTTCCAACATGATATATTTTTCATAGTCTATTCACTTACATTTCTGAACTAATTGAACTAATCATGTGTAAGTAGAACTTTTAACTTTGAAATTATTCACGAAATCGAGTACAAAAAGAATTTAGTATAAACTGTAAAAGATTAAAATAAAATTAATTTATATATTTGAATTGAATGTTATTATAATATAAAGAGTAAATAGTTTACCACATAACTATTATATATTTAAATATTATAATATTATAATATTTAAATAAAATTATAAAGATTTATTTAAAGTATTTTTTCAATAGAAATAAATTATAATACATACAATGTGAAAATTTATTTTGAAATTTAAATTATGTGAAATTTTTAAAATTAAATTAATTTTAAACTTTCATTAACTTACTTATTTTTATTATTAATTTAATTTTTAATAAAAACAATATTAATATATATATAATATATATTAATGAAATCTTAATTATCCAAGTTAATATTTATTCTATAATTTATTGTACAATATTATATAACTATTCAGTTTCAAAAAGAGACTCAAGGTTGATGAAAAGAACGTGATGACTTTAAACAACAATATCTTCGCGGACGCGGATGGATATGATTCTTATTGTTACATAGAAGCCATGATGCAGCGCACATGAAGGAAGCGAGGGTGGTTTTCGAGAGAAAACGAACGCACGTGCGCCGGACGTTGTTATTAAAACATTAGGTCGTAGGGGGATAAATGGCCGCAATAATCCGGCTGCGGGGCCAGCATTTCGATTGTAGAGTAAAAACGCGAGACCGCGTCGCCCTTCTCCGCCATAAACGATCGTTCTTCTTTCTTGGCCGCGTTTATACTCCACGGGCCGATAAATACGGGTCCGCCATAGGGCGAAGGCGAGACTCGGCCACGAATTATAGGCGTTTTAAAAATATTGTTCCATTACTTATTCAGCAGGCCGGCTAAGGTATCGCTTTCCAATAGTATCCTTCGATCACAATTTCCCAGCGTCTGTATTATTGAAGCCTGCCCCCGAAACTCTCGGATGGGATAGACCTAGGAGGAGGTGGATCGGCGGGTCTGTTTGGCTGGGGTAGCTCGGCCGGGTAAACGGATGAAATATGACCTTCGATTGTGCACCGTTTCCAAAGTGCATTTCTCCTTTCCCTCCTCGACTCTTCTTTCCAGAGGTTTTCTATGAATCCGACGAAGAAAGGAGATCTTTCCGTCGTTCGGTGGAAAGATTTACGTAGATAAATTGAAATTTATAGCTCATTTACAGATCGCTGCAAAGTGCATCGGAAGATGATTGTAGCAAAAGCGCGACATTCGACTCGGAAATGAATTTCAACAAACGTTCAGTTCGTATATACCGAGTCCATTGAGATATTTATCGTTTGCTTTTAAACATTTATGTCGAGGTCTCTTCGTAAAGTTGTAACGCAGCGTCGTAAAAAATTGTTCAACGTTTTCTCTGCCGAGTTTATATTTGTGACAACGTGCGCAACGTTGCAACGTCGAAAGTTGAAATTCGTCATTTTCCTATTTTTCAATAGATACATACATTTCATCGCGTTCAGTTTCTTCAATTTTTCACCGAACTGTCGTCGTGCGGATCGACATGCATTATTCAGTGTATCTCTGAACGCTTCGAGGAACTGGCGACTTCAAATGTCGCGTTAAAGGAACAATCAATCACTCGCGTGTCAAGGTATGCACCGATTTTTCTAGCTACGCGGTTAGCACGCGTTAACTCGCTAGCATTCTCAACTGTACTCGTTCGCAAAATGAACGAATTATGTGTCTCCAAGTTGAACTGCACTGCTGAGCGAGCGTTTGGTTTCGTAAAGGCAACCAAATCCGCCGTCTTTCGGCCGTATCGCGGATTATCCGGCTCTAATCTACCGCGAAACTGAAAGTTTCCCGATGATTTCATCCACTTGGCTTTGAGATCGTTTTCGAGATCGTTCGTGATCGTACGCGCGGCTTAGTTCTTTTTTTTTTTTTTTTTGCCGCGATGATAATAATAACCGATGATCCTTGACGTTCGTCGAGTAAAAAAGCGTCGGACAAAGAGCGGAAAACAATGATCTGATGCATCATTCATGAAAACGTCACGGTGTCGCAACCTCGATAAAAAGATGCAACGGTTAGAAGACCGTCTTTTTTACACGATCGAACGTTCTTCAGAACGCTGTTCGAAGCAACAAAGGAGAAATGATAAAAACCGGTCGAGCGTTGGTAAGATAATAATAACGAGAATGACGGAGAATCTCGGATCTGTTTCGAGACACTTTCGTTATTCACAGGGAATCTCATTAGCTCTCGATCGTCTACCCGAAATTTGAAACATCAAACTGACCTGTAG